GATCTGAGAAATTGGTTTTTTTGTGCGCGACAGATACGGAAGTAGAAACGGAAATTATGAAGTGTACTCCGATAGTGGAGATAAGAAGGATATGAAAAGATAACGGTTAAGAGTGAAGTACGCAACCCTTATTCACAAAACGTAACTATTACTCGTTCCGTAATTACTCGTTCCGTAGGATAGTGGTGTCAGCAGAACGGGCGTATCGTACGCCTTTTGAATGTACGCCTTTTTTATGTTTTGAATGTATGACGTTATGTATAGTGTACGGTTTCGTAATAAACGGAAATCAAAACAAACTCCTTCAATGACTCCTTTAATATACACCATGCCATCCCCCATTAATTATGATTAATTAGGGCCTAATTAACGTTAATAACATCTGGGTAATAACCTTCTAACCTGACTAGTTGCCGGATGAATCCGGCAACTAGTCAACTGATCACATCAGGAACTGAAGCGCAAGTATACCTCCGTCGTACGCTGCAGCAGTCCTGACCATCATCTGACGCACCAGCCGACGATTTTGCAAAGGAATACACATGCGTCACACAAACCGTCGACTCAACGCACCCACAACGCGCCATGAAAACTACAATACGGGCGTCAGCATGATGCGCGTACTTTGACGCGCCAAGTAACCGTCGTCAATGCGTCGGCTGACGCTCAAATTATCTGCTGGGTACTGCTATAAAATGGTTTCTTGAAAAATATTTTTACCTTTAATTTGATGAAGGAATTTTGGAAGATTTCCACACCCCACTTCTTCAGCTTTAAATGTCCAGTTTAAACAATTCAAATTCCAAGCTTTTTACATTTCAGTTTTTTTCTGCAAGCTAAAGCAATGTCAAGATGAAGAAAGTTTTCTTGGAGATTCAATTGCTTTTCAACAAAGATTGAGACAGCTGAGCCTGAACTCTTTCATTAGTACCATTCATTAATATAATTTTTTCAGGAAATTGGGATTTTGGGATGATACATTTCATTGTACATGTTTTCAGGAATGAGAAAGAATTCTGTAAGAACCACATATATATAAACACAGATTTCAAATATTCCAGAATGTGATGATTACAAAGACCATGCATTTCAACCATTTAAAAACTGTAGTCTAGGTATTGCTGTTATTTATTTCATGACCATTGAATATGATGTCAGGTTTAGTTGTATTATATTCTTAAAAGGGAAAATTCAAAATATGACAAAAAATAAGCATTATTCCATTTTAAATGTGTATGGATCATCAATATAAAAATTAACAGGCACGCTTTAAATGACTTTCTTTATGGAAATGTACAAGTTTTCTATATTGTTCTAGCTTTAAAAATTGTTGAATTGCTTCCCCCTTTTTCACTTGAATTTCTTCCTCAAAGAGGGTCTTCTATTTATTTGGTACTTTTTGATGAACAGTGAGGGGTGATTCTTCCTCAAACTCAAGAGGAAGGGGAACTGAGCTGGAAGGGGGAACCAAGGAGGAAGGGGGGGGGGTGGCTAGGGATAAAGTGAAATTCTTCACCCCACCCTCCTTTTCCTGGCTTTTTGTCATCCTTTTGGAGTATCACATATCCCCACCTCCAGCTGTTTGCAGCAGAAATATAAAAAAAAGCTTTTTAAGACTTTTGGGGTGGAACTGTGGAAGAAGTTTTCATACTTGGGAGGTGAGAAAATTGAAAACCAATCTTTTCCTGATTCTAGGAAGCAAATGGATTTTCCTTCCAGAAACAGCTGGTGATGGGGATATTTGGTTCCCCAGAAGGATGGAATAAAGATAAGAAAACAAGGGATGGAGTATCCCATTTCCCCCTCAGTTCAAGAAACAATTCCCTTGGCCTGCTCAGCAAAAAATAAAAAAGGGAACAAAGACCCTCCTATCTATGAAAAAATAATTGGAATCAAAAGGTGTAATCATGTTGCAAACTCATAAAGTTTTAAAAATGTAGAATCTTTTAGCATATCTANGATGGATTCCTTCAAAATTTTCACAATTCAAGCCTGTGATTCTTTCCAGGATGATGAATCTAGATTCTCGGAACTCTAGTCATAAAGTCCAGATACAAAAGCACAGACGCTCAATAGAAAATTAAATCTTTCACAATAAGAACAACAACTTCTCGAATACATTTTTCTCTGCAATTCTGATAAAACTAAAAATATTGTTTTAGTGCTTATTATTTTTTTGTGTTAAGTGCAGCTGTTTCTATAAGAGTGCTTCCATGAAGACATTTTCTGCATTAAAAAATGACACGGAAACCTGCTGAGATTTCATAAAATATAAATTTTATATAGAGTCACCAGCTCACTAGTAAAGATAGAATTGAAGTGCATTATTTAACGGTCCCATAGTAACTTAACAAGGCAAAAATCTTCTTATTCACTTTCATTGAGTACATGAAAGTTATGCAGTGATTTTAGAATGAACACAATCAGGATCAGCACTATAACAGAAAAAAATACACATCATGTGTCTGCATGAATGGAAATTAAGGAGGAGGAGATTGGTAATGAACAGCATACATTCTGAATATATCCTGAACCAGATAAGCCTCTATACATGAAGCTCTGGGGCACAATATTTCAATTCTAAATAGCATCAGTGATCATAATATATCCTACCATCATGAGAAATACTATGTATCTGCTGGTAATTTTGTAAAATCAAGGGCATTGAAATGTGATGAGAAAATTGTATTTATCATTGTTCTTCCATCAGGAAGTGTTGACAGAAACACACATAAAATCAAGAGATAACCCCGAATTTGTTTTTCAAGCTTGTGCTTTTATTTATCCCCACACTTGCATGCAATCACAGTGAAATGTACCTCACAATTCGAGAATTGATTGAAATGTGTCATGTGCCAAAATGTGCCGAGCCATCAAACCATTCAACATATTTTCTGAATATATAGTACTGTAATATATCTTGGATGCAGGAGAGAAACATAAAACCCACCAGGACTCATTCCTCCTGCAAGAAACCATCTTTCTTTCTGCATGATGTCCTGAAAATCATTGAAGAAATTAGGCAAAAAGGCCGCGAAGGAATTGCATAAACTTGGCCCATTTTCCCGGCGGAGGAGGAGGTTGCGAGTCAGGTCCTGGAGGTGTTTTCATTACTTTTTGGCTGGTAGTATTTTTGATATTTCCAGGAGTGGTCGTGGGGATGAGTGGAGTGCTGGTGGATGGGACTGATGTGGTGGTTGTGAAGTTACCAATGCATTTTTCAGCATACTGACAAACAAAGCTCCAAACCTCAGGGTCACTAAAGCTTGCAGCTGCCATCATCGTTTCTGTTGCAGTCACATTGAAAGTGTATGCTTTGATTGCAACAGCTGTGGCATTCGCTTGTCCATAATTGAGAACGACTGGTGATCCAAGATTTCCCTGTAAAGTCAGCAATATTTTGATTGAATGCATCTTCAACCCGAGAAAAAGCACTTCATCTTAATTCAAGAACAATAGAAGCCATTCAAATTCTTTTGGAAGATTGTTGAAAACGATTTTCGTGGATGAGCACTTTGAATGCAGCAGCTCAGTTGTAGTTTTCTAATGGTGCAGCCTGGAGAAATACTCTATCATTCCTCTCAGAGTACACAATTTCAAATTTGTTTTGGTTGATGATCCATTACAATGTCAGAACCAAGGCAAGTGGATGTAGTACTGTAGTGAGGCCATGACATGCAGACACTCAAACAGATGTACTATCCAACTAAGGGACACTTGGTGCTCAAAATAATTCCACCCACCATCTGGACAAATTTAGGCTAAAGACATACAGACAGATTGCTGACATTTTCCAGAGAAAGCAAAAAATGTTTCTTCAATTTTATATCAAACATTCAATAAATTTAGCTAGTTTTGTTCACAAATATTGGAAATGCATCTCTTAATAAATTTTCCTCTAATTCATAATCAAAAACATGCTGATTTTTTTTCAGTTTTCTTTCTGTCATCCGTGAACATAGAGCAAGACTTGTTCTTGTTTTACCATTTTCAGCTCCTTCTTGATGCCAAATCAGATATTCTTTCCTGCGCATTTTTTTCTGTAACTTGACGTTGATGGGAAAATTCTCAAATTTTACTTATTCTCAATTCTTGATAAAATTGACAACCAATTGAATACACCCGCATTACGGTCCATGGAATGAAAACAAGGTCTGACATGCAATAAGAATCCACCATAAGGACAAAGACCAATAAATACCAATTACAGGCCCTTCATCTCAGGGTCTCAATTTGCATATTGATAGTCATAGCTACAGTGAAACACTTGGAGCTGTCTCCTAGCTCAGAACACAGCTGGAGACCTTAAAAATTATAGAAATGACTCACCATGTCATTCACATCAAAAGCGCTTCTGTTGGACAGCTGGAAACAGTTTGTGGAATCCTGGCTGAATAAAGCTGGGGGACACTGCACACGAAGGTACTGTGCTCTAACCAAGATCTTTTGTCCAGCTGTAATGAAGGTTAGTGGAGAATGAATGATGAGTATGAGTCTTCATGAGTATGCAAACTTGGCTGCAGCACTCACCGAATTCACCGTCAACCCAATCAAAGACTGTAACCTCAGTCCCAATGCCTGCAACTCCAGGGGTGCATTGAATAGGAAGAGGGGTGTTTTTGGCATCTGAGGGCAGCTGCACAATGGCTACCTCCCGTTTCACCGAGTCATCGTCAGGAATCACCGTTCCAGACGAATTATAATTCGGGTGAAGAATGATGTTCGAAGGTGGAAAGTCTTGGAAGTACTCCTCATCATTTGTGTCTAGAGCAAGATATACACCCAAGGCCTGTATGTCCTTCAATGCATTGCCTTGGTTGGTCCATTTCCTTCCTAGGATAGCCTCGACGGTACACAGGACATGTCTGTAGCATAAGAACCAGAATCAGCTTGTGCCTCAATGAAGGGAAACTATATGCACACAAAAGCATTAACCGGCAGAAACATGCATGGGTCATGCAATTTCAAGACCTCTGTCTTTACAGAAAAAAGTAGTAAATGTATAGTGTATGTGAACCTCTTACGGGTGTCCTTGGATATCATTTAAGGTTAATTATTCTTGGTTAACCCCTTCATGAAGGTGAACGGAAAAATGCAGGTTCATCTAGAGCTGAGAAAGACTCATAATTGTTACTTGATAATGTCAATTAATTAATCAATCCTAACAAAAAATTGTTGAAACCACAAAGTACCTTCAATTTGCAACACCGACTGTGAGAAAAACTTGTCATTTGCTCTTCAAATGACGAAGTGTGCAGACCTCAAAATTTGGGAAGATTAACCTGGTAATTGTGAAATTTGCCTTTTAAACATATTTCAGAGATCTTCACTGTTTTCTGAAGTTTTAAACTCAGAATATAATTAAAGCTCAAATAAGAGCAGCTCTTTTTATAAACAAGGGAGGGCGAAACGTTGACTGATTGCTGAGCTTGTTTTCTTCTCTTTTCAACTTTTCCTCATTCTCCTTTGTCTTAAAAAATTAAATCATCAATTTTCTGTGAGGACTTCTGAAAAATTTGTCCAATTAACTAAAAACATGGGAAAACTCTAAATTTTTAGGGTATACCCCTTGATTCAAAAAACATGATCAACACTACAAAATATTTTAGTGGATGGAGATTTTCCAAAGAAAAAAATCAAAGCGTGGAAATTGAAAGCAGAAAGAGAATTTCGATTATAGCATAATTGGAATTTACTTTTGAATTTTGAGCCGAATTTGTGGTCTGTTTTGGAATAGAATGTCATAGAAAATGAAATGTTTCAATTTCTAAATTCCTTTGTGCTTTGGGGAATAGAGAAGCATCATTCAAAATAAATGATTGTACAATTTATAATGATATGTTTGAAGGTTCATGTTTGAAAGTTATTTTTTCCTCAGGATTTTCAATGCTCATGGACACTATATAGTACTGCTGTACATGTATTTCCAAAATTCATGTCGTTTCTCCAATATGAACCTACGCATGGAATACATTTTTTTTATACAGTATTTATCTTTGCATGCGCAAAATATTATGGCACTTTTGACTGTTCTCCTAGATTGCAGTGAATATCAGCCTTTGTCGTGCAAGCAGCCCACCAATGCATGGAAATCGAGAGAAAATGTGCCGAACACAGCAATATGCAAATAAATATTCACTCCTTAAAACCCTACTTGATTTAGATTGCATCCCTTCCTGGGTCATTTCTCAGAGACAGATTCATTTTAAAAGCAGTAGATATTTTGTACCTCTTCGAAATTAGAAATCCAGGTATGACCTCTCTGCTGGAATCCTTGAACAGCATATCAATTTTTGCTACGTAAGGTGCCAGGGTGCTGATGTCTGTCTCCGAAACGCCGCCTTCCAACCTAGACTGGAACCTTCCATTTGAGAGTGTTGGTAACCCTTCCTGTGTTCTTATTGTTTTTGCCCCAAGAATCCTTTGAGCATGGCCATCCTTTGGATCGCTGATGGCCCGGCTGATGTCGCCCCTGGTTTTGTCATTTCTTGTGGCAGAGCCTATGGTTTATTATAAGTCATGCCGAGGGGAAAAAAAAAACCATGAGGATTTCAGGATAATCCCTGTTGAAAAAAATGAAGCAGGCGTTGTTCTGCTTACCGTTACTTCCCGAAATCAGCAACAGCAACAAGAGAAAGGGGATTCTCATCACCCCGGAAATTAAAAGTCCTCCCATGCCAATGAATCGTCAGAGGAAAATGTCCAGCTTTTACTGCTCCCCGGGGAAACACCTGTGTAAGGTAAATGTTCTGAATAAAATTTACTTCCCTTCCTCAGCAGAAGATTGAAACGGAGTTGACTTTTGACGCATAACGCGCCTCAACTGGAAGATATTTTGGAAATTGAATTCTGGTTTTGAAAATAATGTATTTCTTTGAAAAAATGAACAAGAAACAATTACCCGATTGAGAAAGTTCTGATTTTTATTTTTCTAAAAGAAAGTCACTTCATAATAACAAACCACCAAGTGAGCAGTAAAAGCTCCCAGATTTTTCCCAACTTAGGCCCTCCCAACCTGGGTTCATTCCAGCAGTGACCTTGGGTCAAACTGAAATGCCCTGAAGTTTTCGGATTATATGGAGCCGGTGGCAACACTGACGTGTCGTGTCCTCCTCCAGCTAGGACAATTTCAAAACGACGTACAAAACGACGAATCAACTGCATTGCACCATCCCCTGCACACATCGGCTCAGTGCACTTCAACCAGCAATTTTCCACCCCCCAAGAAAATGGCAGTCAAGCGACTGCGAAGCGTTCGACAAAGCTGTAATAAAAAATAAATAAAAAACAGTCACACACATCAATCCGCCTCTTTCCAAGAAGAACATAAAAAAAAACCAAGAATGAACACAGTTGACCTGATAATTTTTTCTTCCCTCCTGAAATTGAGGATTTTTCATGAGGATTTTCACCAGTAAATAGAACACCGGCATATCATTTGCTGTACATAATACTGTAATGTGTACAGCAAATGATACGTGCCGATGTTTGAATCAGCAGCTGAGCAATTAGCTGGGTTATTATACAGCACTGTACAGTACAACATTGTTATGCATTGGTTTGCATGGCATTTTTTGACCGTTTCCAGATTATCTCTATGTGATGTATAATTGGTGCTTGGACCTTCATTGGCCGTATTATATAGTGGAATTCCTGCATGTCATCAGGTACCTAATTGTCCTATTCAGATTTCAATGGAAATATTTTTAATTGATGGTTCTTCTCTATAGATAATGAATTCTGGAAAAGTCTGCCCAAACATTGAAAAGAAGGTTATTTTTTCAAATTCTCTGCTGAGTATGTTGAGAAAGTGAAAGACAGAACATAAATTAGCTTGCTTTTTTTCTTTCCTATGAATCAGGGTAATTTTATATGACCTTTATTTTTCAATAAATGATCTCAATTTCTTCAACGTATGAGAATTCATGAACATTTTTTTCCAGCAGAAATGTCGGAAAAGTGTCAAGACTGGGAAATTAACCGCGGCAACAGCATACAACACTCTTCATCATTAGTTTTCGGATGCATGTATATTTTTGAAAGCCAGTATATGGACTCTACTCTCTACATCAAAATCCAAAGGTTACAGAAAAGGAATGTTTGTAGGGCAAATTTGTTTGTAGAAATCATTAGTTTTTTTAGTCAATCCTTGATGCCAAACTGTTCCAGGCTTGCTGATGGAATACAGTAGGTGGACAGTGGACTCTCTCGAGATAGTCCAGAATCTATCTGGAAAGGCGGAAAAGTAGAACAATATTTGATGGATAGAGGGCAGTCGCAGTAAAACATGGCTGCGCCCGATTAAGGTTCCCAGTGGGCTCCAGCTGGTTTTCGGGTGCGTTGGAGGTTTTGGATCTGGGCGGTCTTAGGAAGTGAGGTCGATTTTGAATGTCGCGGGGTGATTCTTCAGAAAGCGCCGATGTGGAAGTTGAGCCGTAAAAGTTAATGGTGAATGGAAAGGATAATCCAGCTTAGAAGGATGTCAGATCGAAGCGGAATAATGCTGATGAAGTGAAGACGGTGTTCGGAAAATATCTCAGTTTATGTCCTCCACTGAACTGAAGTTTGTTACTGTGAGGTCTTTTTCTTTTTTCCATCTGTTGCTGGATGGGCAAAACATTATCAGACACTGATGAAGGATTGAAGGGAAAAATGAAAAAATTTCGTCCGACTCCAATGGTTGCGAAATACTGTTCCCAAAACATATGAACCCACCCTCGTATATCCCCATAACATACGCGAAGATAATATTCGTGATAATGCATTTGTGCTTATGATACAGTATATTTGAAGTTACCAGTAAAATGAAATTGAAGAATTTCACAAATTGATGCTTCTCTTAGCTGGCGTTAAGCACTTCATCCTCTAGGATGGAGCCGCCCGCGAGCAGCGTGTATATAATTCAGGGGGAAATGACAATAATAAAAAATAGAAGGCAGTTAAATTATGGCTTCTTTCCGCAAATACACAAAGTTGAAGACAAATCACGTTTGGCTTCAATTCATATCAAAAGACCTTCCCAAGCTTGCAATTTGAATGAGTTGACCAATCTTTGGGATGGCATCATCCACATAAGTTCTAACTTCATGGGCAACCAAAAGTGTCAGGTCACTTCACCAAGATGTTGCTCCAATCATCCTGCACTTGCTGTCAATGCAGAATAGCATTAAATACAGTCTAACCTTGTTAAACCGCCACCCTCACCTCCCGCCAAAATTTTACCCCAAACAAATCTCCACAATGTTGAAAGGATGGGGCACCCTCCAGCATAGGCCACCATCCGCCCACAATTTGCTGCCCACAAAACACCTCCTGCCTTTCTTTTTATACCCCATTAAACTGCCAATTTATTTTATTTCCTGAACAAGGATTTCCTCCTACTTTTTCTTCAAATTCTTTCACTCTCTACATTTTCTTGAAAAAAAAGCAGCATTTTTCCTTCTTCCAAACATACTCTTCAGAGTTTAATTTTTTCTCCATAAATCCTTGAATGTTATGGTCTGCAAGCACTCTTCAGAAACTCTTCTGACTCTCCAAATGATGTGCAGCTTTTTTTTAAATATCAAATTATATTCAGATTGGCTGCAAAACATAATTATCTTCTTGTTTCCAACGAGAGATTCCTTCAAAATTTAGAATACTCCTGAAAGTTAAGCAGAGAGTGTATTTTTGAAATTTTCAGACATTTGTGGCTTGTTTGACAAATTCATGGATTCTTCCTAATATTTTAAAAATTTGTATAGATATTCTTTTACTGAAATCAAACCCTGCTAATGTTTAAAAGGTATCACCATGAAGTTGTCAACATGCTGCAAACAAAGGAATTTACATTGGTGTGCTGGGGTAATTTTTTTAAATATTTTTGGTTTATAAAAATAAATAACCCATTCTATTGGACAAAAATTGAATGAATAATTTATATTTCAATCTTCATATTGTCATGGTAAATCAGATGTTCTCTTTAACCTAGCAGACGACGCTCCGAGCAGCCGCGTCGTCTCTCGCCGCGTCACGCCTTGCTGCGTGCCGCCTCGCCGAGTCACGCGCCGAGGGTTACGCAACCCTCTCCCGAATGAGGTCAGATCCGGGTCTGACCATGCTTGCGAAATACTGGCCGTCCAAATCTATATATTCGCTTGCTTTTACTTTGTCGCGCGCTCATTGCTGTCTGGACTCTTGTTCTAAACGTACTTGCTGTTGAATACGGAATAAAGCTGTAATACATTTTGTACTTGAGGAGTTTATTGAATTACCGAACCCGGCAACAGGAATAAGAAAATCTCCTCACNGCTATCTATATTTGAACCACTTCAGTAATGCACACAGGTGTGCATTAAATCAAACCCCAAGCATGCAGAGAGGGGAAGTTTTCCGATTTGAGCTTAGTATAACTGACATTTTTTCATACTTTTGCAAGGAGGAAAAACAATTCGAGAACCTCCCTAAAGTTTAATTATATTTTACTGGAAATGAGCTTCATTGATTTGCAAAAAAACGCTTGATTCTCAGTATATTAAAGCCTTATTTTCAAAAACTTGAGTAAATCGTTCTCCAAAACGTTCTTCTTGATCAATGGCCATTCCTCGATGAAAAAATGTCCGTTTCCATGTCTTATAGGTTTGTTCACTGTGACCAGAGCTGAAAAAAATTCTGCATTGCTGCAAACATCAAAGACGCATTCAATATAATGTTCAAGAAATGAAAAATACAGTTCTGCTGATGACAGAACTTCGTAGTCCAGATTATTAAAATATGCGAAGTACAAGTCCGTCCGCACAACGGGAACACAGCAACAGTGACGAAACTCATCGTCAACCGACCGAGACCTTCACTACTACAACAGTCGCACGGAACAAGAAGGGGAGGAGGAGGAAGAGCAGTAGCAGCAAAAATAGAAAACAAAAACAAAGCAGAGAGAAATGAAAAGATCATTTCTTGATTCATCAGTCGATTGAAATCCTCGCAACTTCCTCAAATAAATTACCGAGCCACGAATCGCTCGACCTCTCCCAAAGAACGGGTGAAAAACAAGAGAAACGAGGAGAAGCCTGTAAAAACTGACCCTTTTCCGTGCTCCCTCACCTGGACCAAAAATAATCCTCGGCTTCCAAAAATTCACTCTTCTTTTATACAAGTTTTCGTCGCAATACATAAAACGCTCATCAGTCCACGTGGCGGTACACAAGTGAAGAGCATGCAGCACAAAAATAAAATAAAAAATCCAGAGACAATAACAACTCAAAACGACGGCCCTGCCCACAACTGAATCCCCGCCCCCTCATTCGATTATTGAAAGCATGTTGTGACCGGCTTTCCCGACGGGCGAGTCGTCCTCGTTGAAAATCTCACAGTTGTCGAAGATTTGACGCACGTCCACCACGAAATCCTCCCTCGACTTGTACCTGCAACGAGAGACGCGAGCGTTCGAGTGAAAAACTACCGTGAAACGAATCCATCATCACACTTCTGATGCCGTTCCCTGACGCCATCATGAAATACATGAAGTGCGACCCCCCCGAGATGCGGACGTAAATGGTTCTTACTGAACCTTGTCCCCTCGTCAAAACGTCCGCAAGTCGGATCCTGTTTTCCCCATAGACTTCAATGGGAACTGATTTAATTGGTTCTCCTGTTCCTCAAAAATGAGGAATGAATTACCAGGAATGAATTACCCGAATATACGATAAATTGCACAACTAGATTGCAAGATACAGAATATGACTGTGTGAAAGAATCTGATCTTCTAGCATGAAAAGGACCAAAAAAGAGAAGTACAAGTTTAGATGCAGATACTAGGGACAGATGATGGAGAATACAGTATTCCACAAATAAAGAGAAGCACAAAATCTTTGATTATAAATTCGAGTAAATTTATGATGAAATGCATTTTTAATGTTTGTAAATTTTCAGTACAGTTGAACCTCTCTCAGTCAAATTTCAAGGAACCAGCAAAAATATTTGAGTTAAAGTAACAACCATTCTTGTTGGAGCACGAAAAAAAAATATATTTACAGGGAATTGCAATTACAGTATCATCTTCTTGGCCTCAAATTCATTCATCATTGGGTTGAAAGGATGCTGATATAATAGCATTGGTTTATTTGCTCAATGAGTATTTCTCTTCCTCTCAAAACACGTCATGAAATATTTTTACTGCTTTGCTCT